GTAGTGAGGAATGAAAATGAGCAAGAAAATTAGTTCAATGTTAAGATATAACCACTTGAACAAAATCAAAGCAAAAGAGACAGAGACGGTAAGACAAATGAATTGACCCATTTCGTTGTCAAACAGTAAAATACTATCTTCAACATATTCTGTTAAATAGGTTTAATGCAACAGCACCTCCTTTCAATGCAAGTTGTTATATACAGGCTCTGATCTCGATGAGGCCTTTAAGTTTAAAGTTCAGAGAAGTTGCCATCATATCAGTGAGAAAGTTATTGGGGTTACTCGCATTTGTGTAACATTACTGTACAAGACTAATTATTAAACCCTGCAATTTCCAATAATTAACCCAATGGCAAGATTACATGAAAGTTGTCATATCAAGCAGGGAATTGCAAGTATTTAGAACTCTGTTTCAGATTTTGTCCAAATAACCAGTCACCTTGGTCAATCCCCTCTGTGCAGCTCCAATAATATACCATAGTGCCTATCATTGCCTAATTAGGTATTTTATAGAAATTCTGACAGTGCCAAAGCACAAACATTTAATGTTTGACAAGCAACACATTTTTGATTCATGGAGTGGAATTTTCCCTGTGCATAATGCATGAAGAAAACTTTCCACTGTACACCACAGTTGCTGTTGTACCGGGTTTTTCTTACTGTACAGGTCTCTATGTCTGCTATTTGTAATTGGCATTTTGGCAAAAAAGGAAATAAAAATAACTCACAGTACTACCAACTATAACCCTAAGACTATGATCGTAAGAAGGAGAGACAGAGAACGCAAAGAAAAACAAGAGCTGGAGAAAATGGGAGATCTCACAGTAGTGCCTTTCAGAATTTTGTTTGGATTACACTACCCACAGAGATCCAGCTTCAGCTTTCTGTAGGCCAGGCTGTTGGCAATTCAAAAGACAGAAAATCTATTTACAATGCTACCAACTAGTGTCACCTCCGATGCAAACATTTTGCTAATGAAATGCACTTCAGATTATAAATTACTTGCCTCTAATAAAGCTTACGCCAGTGAAGATCCATCATTTCCTGGGGCTCAGAATCTGCTGCTGATAGTCTGACCTTAGTCTGTGACATGTCTGTGCCATGACGTAAAACTGTATTATAATGCATGTATGAGATACTAGGCTATCTCACCACCTGTTCTTGCACAGGCTTTAATTTTATTTAAAACTGTAGAACATGACACTTGTCAATTTCCTGTGGTATCACTCACAGAAAGTTGGAAAGCATGCTGTTTAATAATAATGTGAGATGTTCTTAAAAAACAGTGACAGAAAAATATTACGAGGTTAATAAAATGACTTTTGCTTATATACGGCCTTGCATTACCTCAAAATGTTACAATGAAGTACTTGGAAGTATAGCCATCATTATATTATATGACATGCAAGTGCCAATTTGCCCTATCAGCAATATATCCATAAATAGTAATGAGATAATGATCAGACTAATCTGTGGTGTTGTTGTTCGAAGGATAAATATTGGTTAGGATAGTCTCCTGTTCAATCACAGGATGTTGCGTGTCCTTCTGAGAGGGCAGATAGGACTTTTGTTTAACATCTGATATTACAGCAAATGCTACAAAAGGTGCACCCTACACTCTTAACTTCTAAACATTATTGACAGAAGAGGAACACTAGGAATGGGAATAGATTGGTCGAGCCCTAGAATCTTCTCAGTTGTTCAGTTAGCTCATCATTGAAGTGTAGCTCAATGCTACCTAACTTAAGCTCAATATCACTCTAGAAAAATCCATCCCATTGTTCTGCACTCCCACACGTTCTTACAGCAATTGAGAAGACATAGGCTTTTTAAATATTTTAGTTCATTTATTCGTGGGATTTGGGCATCACTGGCAAGAAAGCATTTATTGCTCATCTGTAATTGCCCTCAGGAAGCTGGGTGTGGGATAACTTCTTTTGCTGCTGTAGTCTATGCAGTAAAGGTAGTCCCACAGTGTTGTTAAAGATGAAATTCCTGGATTTTGACCTGGCCGCAATGAAGGAATATTTCTGGCTAAGAATGGTGTGTGACTTGGAGAGGAACACAGAAGTGCCTTCTGTCCTTGTCCTTTTATTTGGATATGTACTTGAAATGCCACAGGACAAGAGCTAAAAATTGGAATTAGGCCAGATAGCTATTTTCCTGCAACACAAACAAAGGGACAAATGGCTTGTTCTGTGCCAGAGATGTTTGACGTGGTTGGGGTCAAGAGTTTAGGAATGCTGTTGAAGGAGCTGCTGTAGTGAGCCTTGTAGGTGGTGCAGATCAACATTGTGCCTGTGAAGAGGGAATGAATGCTTAAAGTGCGGAATGGGCTGTTTTGTTCTAGATGGTCTTTTACCTTGAGTATTTTAAAATAGGACCATCTGGGTACATACAGTGCATTCAACTGCACTCCTGACTTCTAACCTTAAAGATGTCAAGAAGACTTCGGGGAGTTAAGAGCTGAGTAACATGCTTCAGAACACTGAACGTCTGAACTGCTCCAGTAGCCACAATATTGTGTCAACGGTCCTGTTAAGACAGAGTGGCACCTGGGATGTTAATGGCAGGGGCTAAAGGTCAAATTTCCACGGTGCTACCGGACAATAGGAATGTTTTTCATTAGAGAAATGATTGGTGGTGATTTAATCTGAAGGTCACCACGCCTCAGGCGAGTGGAAAGACTGAGAACAAAAGTCCTTCGTTCTAATCTCAGCCAGTGCGGGAGTTGAACCCACGGTGATGGCATTCCTCTGCATCACACATCAGCCAATTGAGCTAACCATGCCCCCAAATGTCAGGTGGAAGTGCTTACGTTTTCTCTGGTTTTTGATGGCTATTTTCATTGGCTTCCAGCAAACAGAATTTTGTTTAATATGGCATTTTGAAAAGTTCAATTTGTAGAAGCAACAGCAACCAATGTAAACAGTACAGCACAATACTTATTTGAGCCATTTGATTGCCACTCTCCTGAGCCACCATTTATAAAGACTCTTTGCAATCTGGACTGGATTTTTGATATATTAGGATTTTCAAAAACATTTACAATCTAAAAGGTGTTTTTGATGGAACAACCATATATAAACCACCTGACAGCACTGAGATCAACTCAGTCTCACTCAAGTCTGTCATGTAGAACCAAGTTCACAGAAGCTGCCATTTACACCTTCCCAGGAGCACAATACTGAGCCTCAGTATCACGGTGAATATTGGGACAGTTACTGGATATATTTCCACCAGCAAATTATCAGAGCTGCACAGACTGCCCCCAAGATTCAGAGCATTACTATTGTTAATGGTGTAAGACATGTTTGTCAGTTAATGCATAGTGGTGCTCTGAGCTTTTAAATCAGTCAGACCATGTGTCTGTACATACAGTCTATAAGCCTTCTCTGGAAAAATTGAGAGTGCTACTCACTCTACTGATAATAGTAAGCACCGACAACAGAATGTTAGCATTTACAAGACTGTAAATCATCTGCTCTCTCACTGTAAAAGATTAAACCTTTTTGAAGCCCTCAGACTCTGGTCATCTATTTACATTGGGTTAAATATAAAATCATCTTCATCTTCCAAACTCCCCATAATCACACCACACCCTATATCAGCCTCATGCAATGTGACATCTCTTCCTGTTCTGTCTTCTTACTCCAAAATCTTTTGCAGTCACATCAGTGACAAAACCAGCAGCAACCTTGGCCTTCTCTCAAACTCCCAAATTGAGTTCCCTTTCTTTAAAAATCTTATGGAGTCATTCAGCACGGAAACAGACGCTTCGGTCCAACTCGTTGTCCCAAGCAGACACACATTCTAACCTTTCCCCTCCATGAATCCTTGTCTATATCCATTTAAAATACATGATTTCACTTGAGACTTCCAGTCCCGACTTGCACCTTCAGAATAAAATAGAAGATACTTGAAGATTGTTCCCTGTTGAACCATAAAAATGATATCATCTCTCCTGCATATATAGGGGAGAATTTTATTTTTAAAGTGAGTCTTGCTTTTCAGTGTGAATAAATTTTAAAATTAAAACTCATGCTAAAGATTTAACTGCAGTTTATCCAATGTTCAATATTAATTACCTCTCCTGGAAAAGAGAATTTTACATAACAAATTATATGTCTAAATGTATGATCATTCTATGAAAGTACATTGGTCATGTAAAAACATATCCTATAGATACTGACAACTCAATGTATGTACCTTGATGCACAAGCCATATAGTAACCGGCGCGAACAAGAAACAAGCGGCATTAAGTCACGCTATTTTCCATGAATTGATCACTTGTATAAACCGAAATGTGTGACAAAATTAGAACGACAGCAATGCTATGTTCTGTAGAAAGACAGAGATGAAATCAACCACCTATGCCCGATTTTATCAAGGATTTAGTAGCTGACACCCTGGATATTTAAATACGTTTGCAAATTAAAGCTAAAAATGGAATCAATTCTTACAACGTCAAGGCATTTCCGTAAATAAGCACTCGGTGCATTTTGACGAAATGGAAATCTTTGGTTTAAAAGAAATGTACGAACTAATAATCTGGTTACGATTGAGGCACGCGTCCGCTCTTATGATTTGGCAAACGTTACAACGGAGACACGGTTAAGTGCCAACGTCGGGCGACAAATAAGGACATCGAGATATAAAAAAAATCACGGCAAGCAGTTCTTTTGTGTCTAATTCGCCTACGTCCCTCTGATTGTCATCTTAACTAAGTATTGGTACTATGAGGTTGGAACTAACGTGATACATATGCGATTTTGACTGCCTAGACGTGATCCCGGTGCAGCGGAGACAAAGCATTGGATGCAGAATTTCCTTCGTTGTTCCCCTGGTTTATTAAAAAAAACGTACCACATTTCTGACCGATTCGGAAATAAAGTTGCCAAATGCATAAAATCTAATGAGAGTGGATCCGGAGTCGTGGATTATTTCAGATTCTGCTCCACGCACAAACATATATAAAATCACACACAAGACCCACCTTTGTCTCTTTGGTTGGCGGTACAGTTGCAAAACCTGTCGAAATAGGCGCTGTCCGCGAAAGTCCTGTTCTTTCTCCGCTCCCGGATACTCTGCCCAAATCTTAAGTCTTGAGTATTTGTGTGTGTGAGACTGCGTGTTTGCTTCGCTCCCCTATTGTCTACATAGGTGGCACCGGCTGCACCCGGCAGTAGAACCGCGACGCAGATTGCACTCCATGGGCGGCTAGCTGCGTCACTGCTAGTTTCGCCAGCCAGCCCACCCCCTGGGCTGCGCTTGCTGCAGCGGCGGCCAATGAAACCCCAGGCACCATCGAACCGGCAGAAAGTGCATCTGCCTGTCTGTAAGTGGAAAGCGAGGGAGAAGTAGCGGGCATAATGGCAACGGAACACAGGGTGAACCGTTGCTAAGTGGCCGAATAATGGCAGTGGAATGCCGTGGGAACTGTTGCTAAATGGCAATCGAACGCCGGGTGAATCGTTGCTACGTGGCAATGGAAGACCGGGTGAACCGTTACAAAGTAGCGGGACAATGGAAATGGAACGCCGGGTGAACCGTTGCAAAGTAGCGGGACAATGGCAATGGAACGCCAGGTGAACCGTTGCTACATGGCAATGGAACGCCGGGTGAACCGTTGCAAAGTCGCGGGACAATGGCAATGGAACTCCGGGTGAACCGTTGCTACATTGCAATGGAACGCCGGGTGAACCGTTGCAAACTAGCGGGACAATGGCAATGGAACGTCGGGTGAACCATTGCTAAGTGGCAATGGAATGCCTGGTGAACCCTTGCCAAGTGGCGGGAAAATGGCAATGGAACGCCGGGTGAACCGTTGCAAAGTAGCGAGACAGAGGCAATGGAACGCAACGGCTGGAACGTGGCCGGTGTATCGTGGCCCTTGCTAAGCAGCGTTGTCCTCTACCTCTTCTATCGAGGTGACAGCGGCGGCTCGAGTTGGCCTTAGCCTTGTTGTCGGGGTGTTGCAGGTTGGGATATGGGATTGTAACCAGGATTTTGTTCCACCTGTCCCCCTGTAACATGATCTGAGCCTTGACACTAACTTCTTCCCCGCGAGTTCACGTACTGCACGCCGGACTTAATGCGGTTTCAAAAACTAAAGCAGAGGGATACAAATGTTTAGCCAACGCCAGTGGGGCTCTGTTACGCAGAGTACAAGGGAACGTGACCGTCATTGGCAAAGGCAGCATTTCGCTGCTCATCTCTAACTGCCTTTCAGAAACGAAGGTGGATTCTGAGCCACCTTGTTTAATTTGTCCATAAGGTGCAGGAATATCCACAATACTATAATGAGCCATTACCAGGATTCTGAAGTAGCCAAAGTATTTATATGGTTGCATAGGTTAAGTTTCTGGTCACTGGGGATTCAGCCCTGTTAATACCATTGAATGTAAAGTGTAGATGTTAAATCGGCTGTTAGAGATGGCTATTGCCTGGTAACTGTGCAGTGCAAATATTACTTACAATTTATTAGCCCAAGCTTGGACATTGCCCATGTCTTGCTACATGCAGACACAAACTGTTTCAGTATGTGGAAAATTGCAAATCGTATCGAATACTTTGCAATCATCAGCAAACATCTCCCTTTCCGACCTTTTGTTGCAGGGAAGATCATTGATGAAGCTGAAGATGGATGGGCATTGAAGACTATCCTTGTTCTGACCAGATCCCAGAAGAATTCCTAATTTGTTATGATCAGACCACCGGTGACGTTCCCTAAATTATCATTGTTCTAGGTGAGATACCACAAATTCTTAAGTTCCTGGGTGAGGAGTGATGTATTGGCTCCCCTTCTTTATTCACCTGTCTCCACAATTGATCGTAATGAGGTTAATTTACAAAGGAACCTCTGTCTCCTAGACCAAATGAGTTTATGTTTTAAAAGGAGCCAACTTAACCAGAGTTTTGAGAAACTGAGTTTATTAGGTCCTAGATGCAAGAAGAAATCATAATGCAACACACACACACAGATTAGAAATGGCAAGTGATTCTAAAACAAACATTTAAAAGACATACAGTTCAGTCCCTGTGTCATTTGTGAAGAATTTATAGTGGAACATTAATAGTTAAATAGTCAGTTTTGGGATTCTTGGCTCTGCAGTTTAGTTGAAATCCTTTTGTTCTGATTCATTTTGAAAGTTTTTGGTTGGCTGCATTGAGAGCAAGAGAATCCATCGCTTGTCCTGTTTCTTTCTGACTGGCTTGCTAACTAACAGGCTTGCTAACTAGGCCTCAGTGGCGAGAGAATTATTTACCTGCAATTTAGGGATGAGTATTAGCAGTTCTCCAACAGTGACCTTCACAGCACACTGGCATCAAACCAGGCTAGTGCACGAGTATCTCAGCCCACGAGCACACCCTCTTCCACTAGCACACATATTCATGTGTATTTTTGAAAGGGGAGGAAATGAAATGCCTCTTATCCAGTCTGCACATATTATTTGTTTGAGATCGTTCCCAGGATGCTACAGTTTGTAGTGCATTTCTCCTTTTTCTCTCATTTCTTTGAAGCTTATTTCATACTTCACCAGGAGTGACATTCCAGGGCCTTTCCAGACAGCCACTGAATTTACATCCGCAGTCCTTTGACTGTAGCAATCCTCTTTTAAAAAGGCACATGCTGGAATGAAAAGTTTGATATCTCTATTGGTGCTCTGGGGTTACAGTCTATGATTATGAGACTGAGACTGATTACTATGTGATCTGTGACACTGACCAGTGGAGAGTTTTCCTCAAATCAAATTGACTTCAAATTTGTTAGGGTTCCTTGTTTGCCAGAATCAAGTAGTATTGTAACTCAAGGGCAGTCACTGTCATCTCTGGAACCCTCTTTTCAGAGGTGGAAAGGGCACAGTGCTATGTAGAGCAGAGAGACTTCAATGATCTTTGTGGTATTGGAGCTGTCTTGCAGATGGTCTCTTGCAGTAGTTAATAAGAATAAAATGTCACGGACTAGAATTTCCTGCCTGTTTTCACCCCAGCCATTTGCAATCTGAATTCACATTAAAAATCTGGCCTTAAGAATCTTGTGTGCCATTACAGTGTCTCCCAAAATCTCAATCCTTCTGACCATAATAATTACTTTGGATACACAGTGATAAAACAAGTCATTTGGCCCAACTCATCGATACCATTGTGTATGCTCCATGTGATCCAATACTACCATAAGGATCACTCCTTAACCTTCACTTTTCTAAAGATCCCACTCCCAAAATACACCACACTTGCTTTGAGGACATCTTCAAAGCACCACTGAATTTTTCTGGTACTTTATTGAATTTTTGAATATATATTGAGAGCAGCGCTGCACTTTTTGTTTTTTCGAATACATTTTGAATCACATCAGTATAATTCACATTAAAGGTTGCATAGTTCCCTTAAAATGCAGGTTCTAAATAATGTTGTGTCTAATGCATACTCGTAGAGAAAATTCAAACTTATCTTACTTGTGGATTATTCAGGATTCCTAGTGTGTCGAGCAAGATGAAGGAAACATTTAAAATAACTGCATATGCTAAAATTGGATGCAGAATGTTGGAACCAATCAGCTGTAAGGTAAATTTATGTTCTGTTGCTTGTTTGCCATAATTTCATTTAGGTTGTTTTCTGATAGTTCTATGACTCATCTTACGATAATACAGTGGAGATATTGTATTTAAAATTAATTTAATAAAAGAACAAGTGTTGCCTTACTGGAAAATAAATTTACCCACAATAAAATTGAAAACAAAAGCAGACATTGCATACTTTTCCACTTTATTCAAACTTCTTAAGTTACTAATTGATACAAAACATCGCAAGTTGATGCCAGCATTATTAATACAAAATATAATTGTTAACATATACTTGAATTGCATTGCACTGAATGTTGGGTAAGCTATTTAGAATTAAAAATTACAGACACTATTAACCAAGCATCAGAGCTTAGCGTGTGCTTGTGAGAAAACTTATTTGGATTGCGATTAGTCGTAATGTGGTAAAATTGGTGACAAGTTTCAGTATAAGTGCTGCCTATTATCAGAATGACAAGTAGTGGAAATAGAATCATGTAGAAACTGGAATTGTGAGGCTGTATCAAGATAGTCCCAACAGTGACTTGGGCAAAAATGTAAACCATTGTTGAAACAGTGACATTTGTGACATAAACAGTGAAGATAAAAGGCTGATACACTTCTGACAAGTGAGACATTTCTACTCAAACAGTAAATAATTCTAAAGTGATTATTCACTAAGAACTGACAAAACAGACGATATATACTCCAAAACAGTGTTGTTCATCATGTATTTAATGCAATTCAAATATTCATTAATGAAAGCATTTTAAAAAATTACAAAGTAAAAATAAGATTTCCACATTAATTAAAAAACCCATGTTCATAATAAACATGACTGCTGTGATAATGTAAAAACCAATATTTGCTCTTTTGTTTAAAAAAAACATAGTACAGTACAGCACAGGAACAGGCCTTCTGGCCCACCATGTCTGCGCTGACCATGATACCATTCTAAACTAATACTAATATCTGCACTTACACAGTCTGTACCCCCCATTCCCTAATTTCTGTTCATTTTGCCAGTTATTTTAACTCTGTGCTCTCTTCCTGATTGTTTCATGAGTGGGAACAGTTTCTCCAGACTTGTCATGATTTTGAATATTTGGGGCCTACTGAGGAACTCCTGCAACAATCGCCAGGGCCTGAGATGATTTACCTCCAATAACCTTCAATCCTTTGTGCAACCAGTGGAGAACTCTGTTCCTCTAATTTTCACTGGCAATGCGAAATGATGTTCATGCACAGCAACAACTTCCAGAATCAGAAGTCAATGGGAGATTTTTGAAGGCTTTTTAAAAAAAATACTTGAGCCATTACTGTTATATTTTGATAGGTCAGATTGTAAACACCAATCCTTCAAAATACAACCAGTCTCCCCAAATTTACCTGTCCATAATGCAGCTGACAATTCTTTTTACATGAGGTAATGCATGTCAACAATGTTTATTTTCTGGGCACATCAAATCTTTTCTTAAACTCTAGCTTTGCAGCTTCATATTGCAATTCAACCAATAAAAATCTTTTAGGCATTTCAATTGTCTGGACATAGCATTGAGTGCCAAATTCTTTTCAACAGGTAATATCATCCTAAATATTGCACTGTTTATTGTTTTAAAAAATTACAATGTTGACAGCTGAGGACAATGGTACTTGACAGGATTCAAAGTCATTTACTGAATCCATAAAATGTGTGTGGCATGAACGTTTCATGATTGAGACAGTCAAGAACAAAGAGCAACTTTTACCATTCCAAGCGCATATCTGCTTTGCTCCATGTATATTTACCTCCACGTTTAAAAAACATTTTCTCGTCAAACCCACTAAATTTAATAGCATTCTCAACACCTACATCCAAGATAGATTTCGATGGATCTTTTCTGCCTTGGGTACAATCTAGGAAGCGCATCTGAAAAATATTAACAGAAAGTAAAGATAGAAATGATGAATCATAAAATTCTTTGATAAACTATACAGTACACATCATCTGTAAGGTACTTTGGTTACTTCGTCACTGAGATGCATCCATTATTCATTCCAGAGATGACAATGGTAGCATTTCTGATATTGCGTGTTTTATATTACTGCTGAACTAGGTTCCATTGAATGTGTGCCACTCTTTTTGTTTCTCCAACAAATATAAACTGTGAAATTGTTACTTTTCACAATTTATTTAGAAACAAAATCAAGTTTTAAGATGCCCCAATTTGTTCAATTGTGCATGTGTGTGCACATTATTTACCTGGTCCTCAATGAATTCATTGTATCCTCAGAATATGAATAAATTTCACCACATTCCTATGTTTGGGGAATTTGCAGTAAACCTTGACAAATATGATCTGCACAAGGAGATTCGTGTAAATTTTTGCAATATGGAGTCTTTGTTTTTCGTATCTGGAAACTGGTACACAAGCAAAACAATTGAGTTTCACTGTGATGTATGTACGGGATCACGATAGTGTCATTTCATTGCAATGTGACAACAGGAATATATATAAAGAACCTAGAACTACAATGCTTCTGTTCCTAAGATACTAAACCAATCCAAATGCAACAAGACTGGGATAACTTTTGGGGTGGGGGGAGTGCCAACTATTGACCAGAAACAGAACTGCACCAGCCCGATAAATATTGTGACTCCAAGAGCAGGTCAGAGGCTGGGAATTCTGTGGCAAGCAATTTGCCAAAGCCAGTCCACGTTCTACAAGGCACAAATTAGAAGTATGATGGAACAACTGTCATGGAAAGAAGATTGACTAACTAACAGAAGACAGAGATTTGGCATAAGGGTGGCATTTTCAGGATGGCAATCTGCAACTAGTGGTTTGTTTTTGGGATGCCCAAGCGTACTGTTCTATATTTCAATGAGTACAGACCCAATCGACTTAACCTCCTTCCAGAGATCAATCTCTCCATACCTGGTATCAACCTAAGCTAACAGTCCAATGCTGGATCCATATACCCAGCAGATGGAGATTGACAGTGCCAGGGACCCGGGTTTGATTCCACCCTTGGGCGACAGTCTGTGTGGAGTTTGCACATTCTCCCCCTGCATTGGTTACCTCTGGATGCTTCGGTTCCCTCCCACGGTCCAAAGATATGCAGGTTAGGTGGATTGGCCATGCTAAATTGCCCATAGTGTCCAGGGATATGCAGGCTAGGTGAATTAGCTGCAGAGATAGAGTAGGGAGGTGGGTCTGGATGAGATGCTGTTCTCAGGGTCGCTGTGACTCGACAGGCTGAATGGCCTGCTTCCACACTGTAGGGATTCTATGATTAGATTTGCAGAATTTTGCAGAGGCATTGCTAGTATTGTGTCTTGAGAGACTTGAGGTATCTGTTTTACATCGTCCGTCTCTCTGATGGGCAAATAATGCTGATACACTGTAAGCCGTGATCTTGCTACTAGGTTTCATATCTATGTGTACTTTGCCTGAAAGAAACTTTCCCTTTACTGGCTCCATATATTGTGTGCATGCAATATTCTGACTCTGCCTGGCAGCTAATCTACTTTGGTCTGTATCCTGCACACATCCATATTGGTCTGCTGTAATGTCTGCTCCACAACTTGTAATGAGTTTTAAGGAATAATAAGTTCTGAAGAAGGGTCACTGGAACCGAAATGTTACTCTACTCTCTCTCCACAGATGCTGCCAGACGTGCTGAATTTTTCCACCAATTTCTGATTTGTTTCTGATTTCCAGAATCCGCAGTTCTTTGGTTTTTTGTCAGAAGTTTTACTGTTTTAACTAAACTGACCCACGTAGTTAATCAATCTCTGAAGGGCGATTGACCATTAGGCCAGTATGATTAACATGACAGTTGTCACCAAATACTCTGTCTTTCAGATGGCTGCACTGGCACACTGCAGGTGATGTTAAAGTGCTTCACTGATGTCTACTATAATTGAGAGGAGGCTCCTAAGGTATGAGAATTAGTCCACTTTCCCCAATGCTTTTCTGTGGATCATGATAGTCAGCAGATAGTACTGGCTATTTCCTAACTAGCCTATTCAGAGATGTTATTGCACACCTCTGGGACTTGAACCCAGGTTTTCTGGCCTAGAGATAGGAACATTACCACTGCACCACAAAGGTAACATCATCACAGGGTTGCTACCTCTTTAGAGAGACAGAGAGAGAGAGAAAAACAGCTGGTGGTGGTTTAAATTGAAGGTCACGATACTTTGGGTGGAGGAAGCAAGGTTGCAAAGTTGGGAGCTTCATGGTAAATTCAGCTGGTATGGAAATTGAACCTGCACTATCGGCGTCACTCTACATCACAAATCAGCCGTCCAGCCAACTGAGCTAACTGAGCCAAAATGAAAGGCAAACAATCAGTATTGGATGGCAGAAGCACACATGAACTATGACCTTTCAGGCAGGCACTTCTCTACTACTTTTTCAAGGGCAATTAGAGAACAGCAATAAGTACCTAGTCAATACATCCAAATCCAGTAACTGCATGAAAAAAGTTATTGCATATGTATAAATTGCACAGTTTCTGTCATCTGTTTCATTGTTTGCGTAACTTTAGAAGGCAACACAAACATTACAATTTTTCATATAATTTTGATCTTCAGTTTATCTGTGCCATATCAACTTAATATTTTACCAGTGGAAGCAGAATTTGAAATTTGAGTGAAGATTTGTGTTTCATAGGTTTGTTATGCGTATAGTAATTAATATAGTTCTGGGAGCCATTCACCTATCATTCTCCTTTCACTAATGTTATCACATCAGCTCATCTAATTTACTCACATTTCTCAAATGTAGAAATCATCATAAATTAAATCTCTTACAGTAGAGAATTGAGTAGTGTTCTCTACTTTTAAAAAATTGATGTTACACAACACTGTTGCATGTGGAATTGACAATCATCCTTTTACATTCTCTTAGTACCTTTCTAGAAAGTATTGTTAGGTAGAATCATGCATTGCAGAAGGAAGTAATTTAGTGCACAGTTTCTGTGGTGGTTCTTTGAAAAAGAGCTATCCAGTTAGTCCCATTTCCCTGCTGTTTCCACATAGTGGTCATGTTTTAAGTATATGTCCAATTCACTTATGAATATTCATTTGAATTTTCTTCCAGCACCCACTTTAAATTAGTTTTCTCATGAAATATAGCTAGGGTGAATGTCTTTGTGTTATATTAATGTGTCCACTTATATTAACGTTTTTAAAATATGCAAATTACAATACATAGCAATGAGAACTTAACAAGACAGCATTGTATGCTATTAGGTTTAATAACATAGTACTTACGTATTCATCAAGGATGAGATAGGAATCTCGCATCTGTAGGGAGAACATAAGTTAGGATCATGACTGTTATTTGTTCATAAGATAAGAATTACCAATTTTTAAAAATAAATTATGTAAGATTGCATACAAAAGTCAAAACCACACCAGTGAAACAAAGACAGAACTGAAGAACTAATACAGGACAATGACTGTGCATTATTAGCAATAGGGTATATCCTCAATGTGGACATTCTGATCGCTGGAAAGATCAGCAGTAATCAACAACAGAAAAAGTGACAAGGGTTTTCAACAATTCTTAGCTATAGCACAAGCGTGCAGATGACACAAAAAATTGCGACAAAGATGCAAACAGTTTACAGAGAGATATTGAAAGGTTAAGCAAGTGGGCAAACAGTTGGCAAATCGACTATATTGTGGGAAAATGTGAAGTTATTCATTTTGGAAGGGAGAACAAAGAACAGTATTATTCAAATGGTGAAAGGTTGCAGACAGCTACAACACAAAGTGACTTGGGGGTACTTGTGCACAGGATACAGGTACAGCAGGTAATCAGGAAGGCTAATGGAATGTTGGCCCTTATTTCAAGGAGGTTGGGGTATAAGAGTTGGGAAGTCTTACTGCAATTGCACACGGTACTGGTGAGACCATATGTGGAGTATTATGAGCAGTTTTGGTCCCCTTATTTATGGAAAGATATTGAATCATTGGACGCAGTTCAGAGAAGATTCACTAGGTAGATGTATATAAAGATGGGGGGAGGCTTTTGTGTCAGCTTTGATTAGTTGGGCAAAATATTTTGTGCCTCATATATATCAGCAAGTCCATCAATTTCTAGTTCTGTAATGTCACCAATCTTCGACCCTGTCTCACCTTTTCTTCTGTTTTTTTATTGACAGTATATTGATGGACTTGGGTCCCAGATGTGACTGCATCTGTCACATGCTGCAACATGTCACTGGTAGCTGCCAGTAGCGAAGGCCAAAGTAAATCTGTGACACGGATGTGCTGAAATGAATCACTTTTCACAGAGGATGGAATCCGATGGCTGGTGATCATAAAGGAAAGCCTAAACAGCATCCCTCATCTAATGCTGCTCCTCAAGTTGTACACCTGGTTCAGTTTCTATTCCCACATATCTCACCTTCTCATTGGATTCAGGCACAAGGCACTTGATCTGTTTATGTCTATCCAGAAATTTCTGAAAGTCTTTACTGCTGATAGTAAATGTTTCTGCATGTCTCAGAGCTTCTTCTCCAGCATTTTCTCCATCAATCAACAAACATTGGAATACCTGTATTGAAAAAAATAATTTTAATATTCAATTTACTATACTTGCTATTACAAATGTAACTACTCATATGAGGTCCCCAAAACGTGTTGTCCAGTTACCTGAGAGATAATGCATTGTATTTTATTTGTACTTCCCATGCCACCTCTCTAAGAGACTGAAGTAAAGCTGCCTTATTATTGTCAGTTAGTACGACATTATAGGTGGTGTAAAAACCTGCTGAGCTTCTCCAGCAACTTTGCTTTTATTATAGGTGGTGTGTTGTTGTGCACTTGAATCCAGGATTGAATCCAAAATTGACAAAAACAAATTTCACACACTTTCATCCTTGCAACGACAGAGAAAGGGAAAATGCATTCAATCATTTTCAACAGGACTTTAAAAGAAGACACAGAAGCAGAACGATAATGCAGTGAACCACCAGCTATGATATTATCACCACAGTCCCTCATTATCATTCAGGGAACATTGAGGCTAGGAAGTAAACTTGTTATTCAGCACTGGATGTTTCCATGATCAGCACAACTGAATGCAGAATCTTCTGAAATAACCTACTCCTTGCCATTTTAGTTCAAAATATATATATTGCATGGGCAGGTTTCTATAAAAGCACAATTTGATACTTTAAGTAAAGTTTTGCTTCCCCTGCTCCTCTCATGGGTTTCTTTATTTTTAATAAAACATTTACATTTTCTCACTGCTAGAAGGGAAAAATACTAGAAACAGGCCTCAGTAATGATCACTACTAAACAAACAAGAGCACAACTCAAATTCTAAGACTTAAAATAACTTGGTTTTCACAAAACCACCAATGTTTAAACTTACAAGGGAGACAATCCACTGAATACTATAGACATAAATAGCTCCATTTTCTGAAGTTAAGCTATTCATGTTACCTATATTGAAGGTATATTAATTTGGTTTGAAAATTTCACCTAGGCATCAGCTGAGAGAGGAGGAATCATAACCATTTGTAACCAAAATGAATAATCATGAAAGCTACTGTATTAAAATAGGTCTTCCCAAATGCCATATTTGTTGCCATGACCAATAAAGGCACTTTCAGTTTTGAAGATGAGGCATACAGAATTCAAAACATTAATTCTGTTTGTCTCTCCAAAAATGTGGCTCAACATGCTGAGTTTCTCTAGCACTTTCTGATGATACTGTTCTGAAGGCAACAGTGAGATCCTCAGCAGTTCTCAGCTGGTGTTTTCCACTTAGCCTTATCAGATTAAACAGCTAAGAACTCTCAAGGAAGTTGATAGACACATACTCTCAAGACATGTGTACAGACAGTTTTTCCAAATATCCAGTGAGCAGAAACAGAGCCTTTGTCCGCTAACTTAGGATTTTGGGGCAGTCAAAATAGCAATTTTCTCCAGCACAGTCACATTTGAGTTCTTTCCCTAATCCTCCACATTCTTACAAGTAGTTATAGTTTGGAATATCAAGAAAGGTGAAGCAATTGAATTACCTTCCACCTTATTGGATTTATCAACCTGATTTGTTCATTCATATCCTCATCAACATTGAATCTGTTGATGACAGAGTTGATTTTAAAAGCCACTTGGTAGTCTTTGCACCAATTTCTGACTTTGAGGAGGTTCTCGACATGATTTTTGTTCCCTTGCCCACGGCCAATGAGACGATTGGTGTCCTCTTCAAAACTGTCACATGAAATCGCCAAAATGTCCAGATCCTTACCTGTAACATTAATGTCTTATGTTAAACAGTGAGCTCCAGCCATAGTTTAGAAACTGATTAATTACAGTTGTCAATTCTGCTTGCAGCATGCAAGTTTAGAAAAAAAAACTACCTGGCATCATGTTACAAAAGAAAAGCTAAACTGGACTGTAAAATTTCTGAACTGCAACTAAACTCACTGGAGATGTTACTTACTTCAGACAAGGTTTCTCATTCACGGTTGGCATTTCTTTATCTATTCCTGTAAAACTATGAACGCACTTAGTGGGGAATCATTAAGATAGATTCAATGTCCATTGTACAATATGTATCTGGGCACTTGGCCTGAGATCAGTGGACATTTTTACTGGGGTCATGATTAAATGTAGTATTAGTGAAACTAGGGATTCACTTTCAAACAAACTTCAGTTTTCAAAGTGTTGAATGAAAGAATTCAAGAAAAATGTTCTGGCCCTAGATATGTTAACATACCCCCAACAATTATTCCATCTGAATAAGTTACATCTAGTGTTGAACATACAGGTACCATGTTTGTTTTTGATTCTATGGGTGTAAGCTGCTCTTAATACTCACCAAAGAAAACATTACATACTGAATGTTACATCCAGTTTCTTAGTGTGTGTGGCTGAATCACACATCACACAGTATAATTATGAAATGAGTGATTGGACAATATTTTATCAATACATGGACAGTCATTGAATCATAGAGATATATAGCACAGAAACAGACTCTTTGGTCCAACTCGTCCATGTTGACCAGATATCCTAAATAAATCTAGCTCCATTTGCTAGCATTTACCCATCCAGATGCCTTTTAAATGTTGTAATTGTACAGGCTTCACCACTTCTTCTGGTAGCTCATTCTATACATGCACCACCCCCTGTGTGAACAAGTTGACCCTTAGGTCCGTTTTACGTCTTGCCCCTCTCACCTTTAAACCTTCGCCCTCTAGTTTTGGACTCCCCGACCACAGGGAAAGGACCTTGTCTATTTATCCTATCCATGCTCCTTATGATTTCATAAATGTCTATAAGATCACCCTCAGCCTCCGACGCCCCTGCCTATTCAGCCTCTCCCTATAGCTCAATCCCTCCAACCCTGGCAACATCCTTGTAAATCTTTTCTGAACCCTTTCAAGTTTCACAACATCCTTCCTATATCAGGGAGACCAGAATTGTACACAGTGTTGTAAAAGTGGCCTAACCAACATCCTGAGCAGCCGCAATATGACCTCCCAACTCCTACACTCAATACACTCACCAGTAAAGGCAAGCATATGAAACATCTTCTTCACTATCCTATCTACCTGTGACTCTGCTTTCAAAGAACTATGAACCTGAACTCCAAAGTCTCTTTTTTACACACCCCAGGACCTTACCATTAAGTGTACAAGTCCTACCCTGATTTGCCTTTCCAAAATGCAGCACCTCATATTTATCTAAATTAAACTCCATCTGCCACGCCTCAGGCCATTGACCCATCTGATCATGATCTCTTTGTATTCTGAGGTCACCTTCTTCACTGTCCACTAGACCTCCAATTTTGGTGTCATCTGCAAACTTACTAACCATATCTCCTATATTCACATCAAAATCATTTACAAAAATGACGAAAAGGATTGGACCCGGCACACTGCCAGTCACAGGCCTCCAGCCCTGAGAAGCAACCTTCCACCGCCACCCTCTATTATTAGTTTAACCCCTCTCAACAGTGATTAGTTAGAATATAAACAGCAATCTCAATCGAATGTATAGATACGTGCACCCCATTTCCAGACTTGGGTATAGGCATATTACCGTAGTTTTTAAACCACTTCTCGGTGATCCGACTCCCATTGCTCACAACGCTGACACTGGGCAGTTTCAGCTCCTGCTTACAGTACTGAACCAGCTTCCCGAGAAACTCCCCACGATTGACCAGAAAAGGTTCCCCTCCAGAAAAATTAATTTTCTCCATGCCTGCGCAAGAATATCAATTGGAAAGTTTTGAATCAGATCTTGAGATGCCAACAGTTATGGATGGATATTTAATAAAATCCTGCCAAACATTTGTCTCAAGAGCATATTTAGAAAATAGGAATTCAGACTTCAGAACGTGGACAAACTTATTGAAGTATATAGACACTGAAGCTATTGCTGCCAATTTGCCTCTGGAAATGTAGTAAGATCACTGAATTGGTTTATTAACATTATTAACTGGTCTACTCAACTATCATATTTTTAACAGGAATACTTGAAGAAAGGTTCATTTTTGTAATCCTCCCAGTTCAGTAGTTAAACAAATAGTGGAAATATAAAATAAAACAAAGAATTGAGTTTTGCTGGAGATCTGAAACAAACACAGAAATTGCTGGAGAAACTCAGCAGGTCTGGCAGCATCTGTGGAAAGAGAAACAAAGTTAAGGTTTGGACCTAAGGGGCATTGGACTCGAAACGTTAACACTGTTTTCACTCCACAGATGCTGCCAGACCCTGTTGAGTTTATGTTTTTGTTTGTTAATGAAATTTATAACATTTTCAGCTCTGCAATGTTTGCAACCGCTATTACTCCAATCCCATATTAAAACTCCACTATTAAAACATCTGAAAATAAACTTTGCAAACATGATAGATGGATGGTGAGTAGGTGCTCCCCGTAGCTTCGGTACTGAGCAAAGACTACAGCTTATTTCCTGTCACCTTAGTCCAACTACAGCCAGAAATATTTCACGATATTTTAATCAAGCTGTTCAGACACGTAATGGCACAGCTCTGGAGCAGGCCTCCTTGCCCAGAGGGATCGCTGTACTACAAGAGCCCTAAATAGTAGTAATGATATCCCCAACGCAAACATTATATTGTGTGTCAATAGTTGGCTGCAGCCGACTGTTTCCTCTGTCCGATCCGATACTCTCCACCCCATCCCGCCCCATCTCTTCTCTCCCCATTACACATCAGCATTAGCAATGGGATTTTGCGCTTTTGCCCATAGTTGTACTTGGTACACATTTCTGTGTCAGTAAGCGACTTCAATAATGTCCCACACAATCATGCAAAATAAACAACTGTCACTCGTATCAATAACATCTCCACCGAGTTGAATTCCAGCATCCGCTGTTCTTCCGGTTTTACTTTAAAGTCACAGGTTATTAATCCTCATATTAGAACGGCATTCTCTCCCAGTTAATTTTAAACGTGTACTGGTAGCCAAAACAGCATTCTGAACGAAGAGAAATTGAACTTTGTACTTGCAAAGCTTAATTCTGCTGCTTCCTTACCGGCTGCTTTTAAAAGCTTTAGCCCCGTTTTGGCTTCTTCCAGGGGCAACACAAATGATGTCTTTGCGGTGTGGAAACAGAAGCCGCACTTGTAGTTACACTGTCGGGTGAAATGGTAATTGACACTGGTGGGTACGGCACTCCGCTCCTGGGTCCTGTCGCTGCTTGTCACTCTTTCCCGTCTCCATTCAATGAGCCCAGATTTACTCAAGGCTACCAGCCGCATCAACCAACGTGAGATTTCGCTCGCCCTGTCGATGCAAGCTTGCAGCAGAAGTTTAATGCAAATAACCACCACGTACATTTTTCCCTCCCGACCACGGCTAACTCGGAATGTGTTCCCAACAAGCCTTGTACAAATGGTTGATGTTTTGTTCTAGTTAGGTATATATGTACACTCTCTGACGTAGCAGAATGATTAGCAACCACCTATACCATAGCTCACGCATAGTATCACTTCTTCAGAACAGAAATCGAAAGTGAAAACAATACCTAATGTCACAGCTTCCCCTAACATCCTAGCAATGTGTCCCTTTTTGTTTTAAGTTCACTCAGAATCTGAATTGCTGACCCGAATTCTTCCTCATTCTTACCACATGGTATTGGTAAGTTTTGGAAGAATGTACAGGTTGATTATTCTGTTTAGTCCTATATTGACTTTCTGTGGTCATTCAGTCATGGGGTGAGACTCCAGCTTCTGGCTCAGAGACAAAAATGCTATCCACTGTGTCACAGAACCTCCAACTGCCTTGCTTATTTATTGAAACTTTTAACTACCATGATATGTAAACAACAAGAATTTCCCTGATTTCTTCTGGTCATACCTTTAACTCTGTTTTCTCTCCACAGATGGTGCCAGACCTGCTGAGTTTCTCCAGCACTTCATCCTTTCAATATTACTAATTTCCTGAACATGGAAGAGGGTTGGAGACAACAGCCAGGATTTTGCAGATTTGGCAGAAGTTCCACCATTGTTAGAACATAGAATGGTACAGCCACAGGAACACGCCCTTTGGCCCATGATGTGCCAAATGTGATGCCAAATTAAACTACTGCCCTGCCCTTGGTTCAGCTCCCTCCATTTCTTGCATATTCATGTACTTACCTAAAAGTCCCTTAAACGCCCTTATCGTATCTGCCTGCACCAAAACTCCTGGCTGTGCATTCCAGACTCCTACCACTCTCTGTGTAAAAAAAACTTGCCCCTCACATCTCCTTTAAACTTAACCCTTTTTACCTTAAATGCATGCCCTCGGTATTAGATATTTCAACTCTGGGACTGTTGCCACAACCTGAAGACCCACACCTGTAGGGACCTTATTTTGCTGGCAGCAACGCTTAAGAACTGAGCCTCTTTTCCAAGAACTGCCTACCTAATGGGACAGAGCAGCTCCGCTACTAGCAGTGGCCACTGCTGGAGCTGCATCTGGAGGATGAGACTGCATTGATGGCTGTATGGCCCTGAAGGGTGGTAAATTGGGTCACTGAAGACAGAAAGCACTATTACCATGGGGCATTTATTGTCATTTGTGAGGTGAGGCTATGCAGCATTCCACAGGCCAAACTATTCCCAAACTAAAATCTCTCCCCACTACCGCCAAGAACCTGCGAGAGGCCAATAAGTTTGACTGCACAATTTCTTCATGAAGAGGTAGACCTTTCTTGACTTAGACAAAATTCCCATTAGGCAGCAACTGGCCTTTAAGTTACCACTTAGGTCCGTCAATTTAGTTGCCAGACAGCCAATCTGCCATCTTTCCATCTGTGGCAAAATGACATTGCAGTAGGAAAGTATCTGGCATGGCACTCAATTTATCTTTACCCATTTTTGTTGACCTTCTTCCCTGCTAGCTCATCCCCAAAGGGCTGATAAAATCCCTGTGCATGCTGTTGGTATTTGCTATAGTTGAAGGCACATTTCAGAACACAACGGCTACTGTATTTGTCCATTCCTCATTTCGTTAGGTGGAGAGGATACTTGTACTGACTTGTTTTGCCTGTCAAATCTGCCTATGAGTGTTATCATTAACTGAATGCCTATTGTATTCTTAGTATCACACACAGTATCTATAAGAGAAATTGTTGTGTGCTTGTTCCCTCACAGCTTTAATATTCCTCTTTGTGAATTTATGGTTTCTATTCATTCCACGGTTCTGTTTATAGTAGTAAATCTCCTGCAAGATTCCTCTACATGTGATTGTTTGCAGCTTTAGTTTATAGTAAGACGTATCAGGAAAGGCCAGGTGAGTAAACACTTGACTTCTGCTTCCCGCTGTCACGGGATGCACAACCCTGAATTGTCCAGCCTTCTTATCGAAGGATGACAGGTATGTGGAATTGAAGTCACGGTCAGATCAGTCATGATCTTATTGAATAACAGAGCAGACTAGAGGGGCCAATGGCCTAGGGGGAGGCAATGGCCTAGTGGTATTATTGCTGGACTGTTAACCCAGAGATTCTGGTGGACCTGGGTTCAAATCACACCATGGCAGATGGTGGAATTTGAATTCAATAAATATCTGGAATTAAAGGTCTAATGATGACTGTGAATCTATTGTTGAATGTTGGAAAAACCCATCTGGTTCACTAATGTCCTTTAGAGAAGGAAACTGCCATCCTTACCTGGTCTGGCTGACATGTGACTCCAGACTCACAGCAATGTGGTTGACTCTTAACTGCCCTCTGGGCAATTAGGGATGTGCAGTAAGTGCTGCCTAGCTAGCAACACCCTCACCCCATGAATGAATTAAAAAAAACTCCTGATTCTCAGCTGTAAATAAGCTGGTGTCCCACTATGTATTTTTGTGTTCTCTTGTTGTTTTGCCTTCTAATTGCTCCATTTCAGTACGAGCATCGCACTTTCTCTAGCATTAAAAGGGATCATAGAAAATAGAAAGGCATCAAGCCAGATTGGGTTGCGTGTGAGTGAAGTGCATGAAGCGTGTTTAAATAAGGTTGGTGACCTTCAGGCACAACAAGCATATGAAAAAGTGAAGCAGTGTCAAAATTGGGAGAAATGGATACATCCAAATCCTTAGAATTTGACTCTTGGCATTGCCCTCTATGGCCATGTGCTCCCATTGCCCTCTGAGCATGTTCTGAAGAGCCTCCTGTGAGTATAAGAACATCTTTCCTCATTTCTGTCCCTTACACCAAAGCCCATTTGTTGTATGTAAATCACCATGTTACCATTAATTCAGGTACTTATTAGGAAATCTCACAATCAAGTACTGAAACAATGATTTAAACTTTATTGCATGTAGCAACCAAAATAAGAACACTCATATAAGCAAGTTAGGCCTTACAGAGTGACTTGACTATTACCCCACTAATGGTGGAATTTAGCTACCATTCTAACCAACAGTGTCTGCTAACTGTAAGTGTGTGGGGTTCGATCTTTGTGCAGTGTTGTTCTTCCAAGTTCTGCTGCTGAATTGTTCAGGTGTTGGATTCTTATACAATTTTCTTTCTTTCAAGTTTGTGATGTGACATTATTGATGATCCTTTAGATTCTTTCATCCCCAACATTAATTACATTTCTAGTGACCTCAAGTCTGTAACTTGCCTTTTTATTAGAAGTAGCTCCTCTGTTTCTTGTTATATTCAGTTTTCTGTTTGCAACAGCCAGTCCTACAAGTAAGCCCTTTACTTCAGGACATTCCTTCTGCAGGCAGTCTTAATTGCTCCTTTGTCATGAGGCAGCTGTTGTGCTGCTATTAAGCAGTATTATCTCCTCTCTCTTCCTGGAAACAGCTTGTTTATGTTGCTTTGACTCCTTCTTCCCAGGATTGGTTAATTAGCATGTTGTTTTTAATTCCTTTATAACAGTTTATCCTTGTCCCTTTCATCTTGAGAAACAGTTAACTCCAGAAAGAGTTATTGCTGATTCTTTCAATCTATGAATGGTTATTATAGTTCTGAAGTTTACACTGTCACACTTTGATCACAGTTCAAAGCCTTTGGAGCTTGCTTTCTTCCATATGTAACACTCTTGCATCTTTTACAGGTGAGATTCAATTTCCACAGAACTTCTAACATGCCTCAGCTGCAATGTATCTCTACAATCTCCAGTCTAACTTTAAGCAGTGCAGGCTAGTGTGGGATTGTGTTCAATAGTGACCGAGATCGGTGAGAGGCAAAAGCAGCCTCTTTATTGAGCATCCTCAGTGGCGCTGTTGGAGGCGATGACGGCATCCAAAGTACAGTTTTACAGTGGCCTCTTTTTTACATAATTTTTACATATGGTTTCAAATAGTTGTATCTGATGTACACAAGTTTGTGCGACATCTGTCCTGAGGAAGCAGAGATAGTCTAAGCACTTCTTAATGCTGGCTGTTACTCCTGATGGGATTAGAATGTCTGTCCAGTCTGAGCTTGCATAATTAAGAGGTGTCAGTCCTTTTTCTCTTTAATGTTGGCATTGTTAGTAAAAATATTAGACCTATTTGATCTAAATAAGTGAGAAATTATATGTGTACTAAATAAAAGTATAGAGGATATTAAACTGGGTCCTGAGAGCTCATCTACTATTGTCGGTTTTTGACAATTCTTACACATTCATTTATGCAGTTTCACAGAAGCGCTGTTTGGAAAGTAAGTTTCTTAAAGGGGGTAGCGGCTTTATTTAATATGTATTTAAAAAGTATAAATCTGTATGTTAATACAAGATGGTAGTCCTAAATAAAAGTTAGAAATAGGTACTACAGTGTTACAGAAATAGGCAATGTATAAGGAAATTTCAAAGAAATAAAAAGCACTAGATTGTAGGGACATGCTGGTGGAGGAAACTGTTTGATGTCCTGCAGCCTATTCAGGTCCTGAGAGATGGTTACCAAGGGTTAATTAATATTATAATCTTTTCATAGTTTTGAGTGAGTTATGGAGACACGACGGTGGAGATGGCATTGTTCTGAGTAGGTTACAGTATTAACACTTATTCAGGGGTAGACTTTGATACAGGAATAGGTCTAAACACTGCTTGCAGCATATGGCCAATTGGAATTGAAAGGTGTAAAGAAACAGTCATGGTTTGGCAGCCTAGGAAGGGATGTTTAATTTACTTTATCTTATAAGAGTAAAACATACTACAAAAGTGTGCTTTTATGAATGAATGGTAAAGTAAACATAGAGTGCTTGTGAGTGAGTTAGCAAAGAGAATCATAATACAATATCTCACACTACCTTTAACTGCTGCTCATCATAATGAACTCTGCTCAAATATTCAGGCAATCAGTTATGCGGTTAGTGCTGGATGGAAGCTGAAATCATGGAAAACAGTGGGTCATTGCTTTCATCACAAGTGTGGGCTAATTGTGCATCGAGATTTCCAATCTAGGTTATGGGGGTGGGGAAGGAGGAGCTGGCTATTGGATGGAGCCACTGAAGAATCATGATTTGATGTAATACAGTAGGGGCCCATTTAGCTTACATGTCTGTGTTGACTCCAAAGCTGTCACTATTCTGCTACACCCCAAAGCCCTCTAAACCTTCCCTATAAATGCAGTGTCTTGTCAACTTAAAAAATAAATCACAATATGGTTGTGGCAAAGAAGAGGCAATTCAGCACATTGCATCTGTGTCACCTCTCTGAAGGACAGCTTCATCTCGTATCACTCCCCATCATAGTCTTCGTTAGGAAAATAGGAACAGGAATGGGCTTTTCAGCCTGTCAAGCCTGCCCCACCATTCTAGATCATGGGTGATTGTCTCCTTAATGCCATTTCCCCACACTATCTTCATATCCCTTAATGTCATCAGTCTCCAGAAACCTATCCATTTTTCTCTTGAACCTGCTCAATGATTGAGTTTCCACAGCACTCTGGGGCAGAGAATTGCAAAGATTCAACACTCTCTAACCAACCTCACCTCAGTCTTAAATACACTGTCCCTTATCGTAAGATTATGCCCCCTAGTTCTAGACTCAGCAGCTGGCAAAACATCATATCTATATCCATCCTGTAAGAATTTTGTAAGTTTCAATGAGATCACCTCTTACTCTTCAAAATCCTATAGGATACAGACCCATTTTCCTCAATCTCTCCATGTAAAATAATGCTGCCACCCCAGGAAATAATCTGGTGAACCTCTATTGCACTGCCTTCATGGCAAGTACATCCCTCCTTTAATAAGGAGACTACAACTATCCAGGTGAGGTCTTAGCAAGACTGTTTCCAACTGCAGCAAGACATCTTTACTCTCGTACTCAAATCTCCTTGAAATGAACACCAACATAATGGGTTCAAACCTGGGTTCAAACCCCATAATGCCATCTCTAGCGTGGTTCAAATCTCCAGTAATATAATTCTGGCATAAATTACAGGGAGGTCTGCGTTCAAACCCCATAACCCCGTCTCTAGCGTGGTTCAAATCTCCAGTAATACAATGCTGGCATAAATTATATCCTCAGTGACTGCCTCCGGCTCAGACTCACCCCACGTGGATTCCAACTAAGTTTCATCCCTCATGTTTTGAATCCTCCCAGGATCACAGGCATCTCAAGATGGTCAACATTACCTGGACAGCAACTCCACACTCAGTGCCATGCGGCGCCACATGCACATTCTCTACCTTTCTCTCCAACAGCATCGCTACACACTGGCATAGGGCTGCACCACTCCACAGTTCCACTTCATCCTCCAGCTCATTCGTCGTGCTAACAAGAAACTTTTTCTTTTCCTTTCAGGCATCAAGGCCCACAAGATGCAACAACTCAAAGATATCCATGGCCCTCTGGAACCTTCCTCTCCTCCCCTTCTCTCTGACTCCATCCTCTCCACCAACCACACCTCCTGTTAGGTATTCACCATCCCTCCTAACCTTCCGCTCTCTGATGCTGAACGCTCTGTACACAGCAAAGGCCTCAGCTTTATCACTCTGCGTCCCTACCTTAATGAATTTCAGGCACGACATGATGCCGAACTCTTCTTTCGCCGTCTTCGCCTCCGTGCCCATTTCTTTGGACAAGAGTCCTCTTCCTGTCCCACAGGCCCTTTCACCCAGTTCCAATACACTCCCTCCCTCCCTCTGGCATTTTACCTGCACTCGATCTGTTCATTGAGAACTGTTGATGTGATATCAGTTGCCTCAATTTTTCTGCTCCCCTCACCAAATCCAAACTATCTCCCTCCGACCTGACCGCACTCCGTGCACTCAGATCTAACCCTGACTTTGTTATTAAGCCTGCTGATAAGGGTGGTGCTGTTGCAGTCTGGCGCACTGACCTCTACCTTGCAGAGGCTGAGTGCCAGCTCTCAGATACCTCCTCCTACCTTCCCCTGGACCATGACCCCTCCATGGCACATCAGGCCATTGTATCTACTACAGTAACTGATCTCATTTCATCTGGTGATCTTCCCCACTCTGCTTCCAAGCTGATAGTTCCCCAGCCCCGCACAACTCGCTTCTACCTCCTCCCAAAAATCCACAAACAGGGCTTTCCAGGCAGACCCATTGTTTCAGCCTGCTCCTGACCCACAGAACTCTTCCCTTACTACCTTGACTCAGTCTTCTCTCCCCTGGTCCAATCCCTAACCACGTACATCCATGATTCATCTGATGCCTTACACCGGTTTCAAAACTTCCAGTTTGCAGCCTCCAGCCGCCTCCTCTTTACCATGGACGTGCAATCCCTTGACAGGTCCATTCCCCGCCAGAAAGGTCGGGCTCTCCGCTTCTTCCAGGATCAAAGGCCTGAACTGTCCCCACCCACCACCACCCTCCTCCACTTGGCTGAGCTTGTCCTCACCCTCAACAACTTCTCTTTCAACTCCTCTCATTTTCTTCAGGTAAGAGGGGTTGCCATGGGTACCCGCATGGGCCCTAGTTATGCCTGCCTCTTTGTGGGTACGTGGAACATTCCTTATTCCAGTCCTATTCCGGCCCACACCCACAACTCTTTCTCTGATACGTTGATGATATCATCAGTGCTGCTTCCCTCTCTCGTCCAGAATTGGAAAACTTCATCAATTTCGCCTCCAATTTCCACTCTCCCCTCACTTTCACCTGATCTATCTCTGACTCCTCCCTTCCCTTCCTCGACATTTCTGTTTCCATTTCTGGGGATAGACTAGCCACTAATATCCACTACAAACCCACCGTATCCCTCAGCTACCTGGACTATACATCCTCACACCCTGCTTCCTGTAAAGAATTTATCCCATTCTCTCAGTTCCTCCGTCTCCGTCATATATGTTCAGATGAGGCCAACTTCAACAAGGGAGCCTCCAAAATGTCCACCTTCTTCCTCAACCGAGGATTCCCCAGCTCCATGGTTGACAGGGCCCTCAACCGGGTCCGAACCATCTCCTGCACTTCCGCCCTCACTCCTTCCCTTCCCTCCCATAACAGCGATAGGGTTCTCCTTGTCCTTACCTATCATCCCACCAGGATCCACATCCAGAAGATCATCTGACGCCATTTCCGCCACCTCCAGCGAGATGCCACCACCAGACACATATGCCCCTCCCCTCCCTTGTCCGCCTTCTGCAGGGACTGTTCCCTCCAGGACACCCTGGTCCACACTTCCTTCAACCCCAACACATCCCCACAGCCCTACAGCACCTTCTCCTGTAACCGGCGAAGGTGCAACACCTGCCCATTTACCTCCTCCGTCCCCAGTATCCAAGGGCCCAA